TCCCCCCCTTTTGACAGTGGGTCTCATGTAGCCCAGAATTACCTCGAACATCTTGTCCTCCTGTCTGTCTTCACTTCCTGAATGCTGGGATTACAGGCATGTGCTCACACATCCAGTTTTGTGAGATGGTGGTAACTGAACCCAGGGCCTCATCACACTAGGCAAACACTCCACAGTTAAGTGGATTATATCCCTAGCCCAAGGTGATCCATTTTGGACACTATACATATCTCAAAAGGTTTTTATTCTGGCTTTATACTTAGTTGGTGATTTAGCAGGCTTTTGAATTTTAGAGGATTTTTTCCTCTCTAAATTTATAGAATATTAGTGGGCCAATGTTGCAGTTCCCTACTTTTTTCCTACCTATCTGTCTTTGTTTTACTTTTTGAGATGCATCTTCAACATCATCTTCTAGATCATACTATTTTTACTTTTTATTTTTTCTACAGATCATTTTTACTTGTTGCATCTGCTTTTCTTGCAACAGCATAACTTTATTCTTCTTTATGGCAGAATGCATATATAGCATGTTTTCTTTCTCTATGTCTCTGCACTGCTCTAGTAAATCATACTGCAGTAAGCATGGCATTTAACCCTCTCAGGGACATGCTGGCTAGGAGGCCTTTAGGTAAAAACACCTAGGAGTAGAGTTACATATATGGTAGATAAGGTTTTTAGTTGTTTGCCTTTTAAAGGAAGTTCCATCCTGTTTTTATCCAACTTCTGAATATTTCTTGTAATATCTTCTGTGTCTTCATTATTAATGTTTCTTCGTGAGCTTTAGAAGAAAGCAAAGATAAAAGTATATATTTACTCAAGAGAACTGTACTGAGCTCCTGGGAAGTGCTTTCTTACTGAAGCACTGTAGTATGTGAGCATTTCCAGTGCCTGCCTGGCTTCCTGACTTCCCGTATCTTCAACTGTTACCTGCTCTAGACCCTTGGCACCTGCTCTTCTGCTTCAGAGAACACTGCCTTTGGTCTCTCATGTATTACAAAGACACCGTAGCTAACATTTGCTGTAAGCACAGCACAGTCACTAAGAAACAGGACAAGCTTAGTATATTTTTTTAAATGCATTATTTCAAGTTTTTTTTTTCAGGAAAATATTCATCAAGTATAGTACAGAATAAACACACCAAAACCTCTGAAAATGGAAGCAAATAGTATACTTTTTACTTATTTATGGGTATGTGTTCATCAAATGTGGTGACCACATAAGACATCGCCATCATGCATGTGGCACCCAGGCGTCAGTCACATTGGCAGGATAATCCTGTGCATGAGGCCCAGTATTAGTCTTTAAATGTGATTAAAAAGGAAATGCTATCTTTTAAATCTATTTTATGATTTATTTTTACATACCTATTTTTACGTCAAAAATAAGGATGTTTGGAGGCTGGGGATGAAGTTCAGTTGTTAGAGTGCTTGCACAGCAGGTGTTAAACTCTGGCTTCATTCTCCACCACCATATAAATAAGACTTAGTGGAATATGCCCGTAATACCTTGGAAGGTGGAGGTATGTGGATCAAGAATTAAAAGTCATCCTTGGCTATATAGCAGGTTCAAGGTCAACCAGGTATACTTGAGACCCCCCCCCTCTCTCTCTCTGTCTCTCTCTCTCTATATATATATATATTATATGTATTATAACATGTGTGTTTCGTATGTATAATATGTAAATATATATTGTATGTTTAGATAACTATAGCTATTTGTAGACTGATTATAACTTCTTGCCCAGTTTAGAGACAATGTATCTAATTCTTATCTACATGCATATATGTCCACCAGCTGTCTGTCTGTCACCCACAAGGCCAGAAGAGAGTGTCAAATTCCCTGGAAGTGAAGTTACAGACAGTTGTAAGCTGCCATGAGAATGCTGGGAACTGAATGGAAGGACAGCCAGTGTTGTCAACTACTGAGCCATCCCTCCTGCCCCAACGCTTCCCACCACTTCTTATTTACGTGTGCAACATATCCCTACATAAAAGTTCAACCCTGAAAAAGATTTTGTTTTTCAGCAATAGCTTCCAGTTCAGGTTTGATTCTGCAAATGCTCTTTTCCAAGGCATATTTGATTTGTCCTCCCAGTGTCCCCTAACCAGAAGGGAACCACACAAGAAAACATAGCTGAATACATCCATTCCCATTGCTGGTGTAGACCTGATTCACTAAGAAAATAGGAAGAGGGTAAATGAAAAACAGTCTAGGGAAGTCATAAACCAAATAAGGCAACGGGTGAGCCACAACTGTGGGTGTAATTTTTTTTCTCCTTTTCTCTCTTCCAACAGGGAAACACATCACCCCTTCCTCCCACTGTCTCAGACTGTCTGCGGGCTGATGTCAGGGTTGCTCCTTTGGAGAGCCAAAAATGTTCCTTCTATTTAGCAGACAAGAATATCACCCATGGCTTCCTCTATCCTCCTGGTTAGTGAAACTCTTTTTTAGAGCAACAGCTAGAAAGCCCTCAATCAGCTGGATGTGGCGTGTGTGTTAAACATATATTCCCCACCCAAATGACCTGCTTGGGCTGCCTAAGAGGCTTTGGCAGTCGCAGGCTGGCCAGCGGTGGTATAACGGCTTCCTTAAAGATTAATAAATTGTTCTGTGGGAACCACACATTAGCTCTAATCAGGCCCAGATGTTTAGAGAGTTCAGCAGGTTTAAGTTTAATTTTACAACTGAAGGGTATCGGGAAAGTGACACAAGCATCTAAAACAACATTATCTCTGGCATCCCGCCTGAGCTAAGGCCCTTGCAGAGAACGCAGCTGCTTCGCGGTGCAAAGAACGGGGCCTGGAACCTGGCCTGTCAGCTTGGCTCTGTGTCCGAGAGCTTTGGCCTTTGTAAGCAGCCAAATGAATCTCAAACCGTTGTTTTATTTGTTTGTTTGTTTGTTTTTTTAAGAAAGGATCTCTCTTGGGGTCACATGAAAACCAGTGAGATTTTTCTAAAACTCGAGTCTTTTTTTTTTTTTTTTTTTCTGTTTGTCAGGGAATGCCATTTTCATATTTTCATGAGAATTTCAACTATTTCAGTTTCTGGGAATGGGTTTGCTCCTGGTATGTGACTCTAGCTTTTTGTTTGTTTTTTAAGTCATGAACAAAGACAGTTGACTAATATTCTTCCTTTAGAGATTTGGAGACGTCTAGTAGAAAGAGGCTTAATGAAAGCAAAAAATGAGTCAACTGAAGTCCTACAGTAAAGTATATGTACATTTATTTTACAGCAATCAAAGGAACTTCTGAGAGTCAGTATGATGCTTTGATTACAAGTAATTTGGTTCCAATGTATGAAGAATTCAAAAGTAAGTGCCAATCCTCCCCAGTCCCACACTGGCCTTTAAACTCAGGGTCTCACATATGCTGGACAAGCATGGGACATCCTTACCCATAACTCTACCTGACCTATTACCTGGACCTATATGCTCAGTCCATTGTTATTCTTTATTTTGGAATAGAGTCTGGATTACTTGACCAGGCTGACCTTGAACTCACTTTGTAGTTCAGGCAGGCCTTGACCTTGTTATCTTTTTTTTCCTAATCCCACAGAGTACCTGGGATTACAGACCTAGTGGTATATGCATATTAACCTTAAGCTAATAAAGTGATTCCTTGGACTGCCAAACTGAACCTATGTTTTATTATAACAATTTCTTATTGATCTTTAATCATTTTATTCTGTTAGTTTAAATACAGGTGCAAAACTCTTGATGTAGTTTCCTTTCAACTAACTGAGATTTTGACTTGCTGATAGATTAAAGGTGTGCGCCGCCACCGCCTGGCCCTTTTTTTTTTTTTTAGGATTTTATTTATTTATTATTAAGTATACAGTGTTCTGCCTGCACACCACAAGAGGACACCAGATCTCATTACGGATGGTCGTGAGCCACCATGTGGTTGTTGGGAATTGAACTCAGGACCTCTAGAAGGGCAGCCAGTGCTCTTAACTTCTGAGCCATCTCTCCAGCCCAACTTGCTGATAGAATTTGATAATTTTAAAAATTTTGCTTTTAATCTCTTAACTATTGAGACCTGTTTATAAAGCTGAATTTTGCTAATATTCACACAAGTAGTGTAAATGTACCCCAGGACATTGATTAATAAGACAGCATGTGTGTTTCATGGTTGAAGGAATTTGAAGACATATTTTGCTCTGATTTAAAGTCTAAAACTAAAGCAATAAAGAGTTATCATCAACATGGCTGCTTATTTTTGCTGCATGAACTACCTTGTAGAGTCATCCAATCACCACTGACAGTTACTGAGGTGGAATGTGATGCTATTTAAATGCATCGACAAGAGAAAATACTTCCAAACGTTCAGGAGAAGCAGCTATTTTAAAATACCTTATGTTGTAATTTAAGAAAAGTGGCACATGAGAGAAAGACACCACGTGTCAGGGTTCAAGCAGAGGGGCTTTTTAATAGGGAAAAGGATCATAAAAAGGGGGAAAGGGAAGGAGGGAGACCGCCCTCAGGAAAGGAGAGAGAGAAAAGAGGAGGAGAAAGAGAGAAGAGGGAGGGCGGTGGGAGAGAAAGGGGTAGCAGAGAGAAGGAGAGAGAGGAGGATGGGAAGTGGGCAAGGCGCTTTTAAAAGGAAACTTAGACTATGCACAGGTGGTGGTCTTAGTGGCTGCAGCTGAGGGTGTCTCCCGTCAGAATCCCAAGGACAGGCCGGTACAAAAGCCTGGATACTAACTAACACTTCATTCTTTCATTTTTTAGAAATGTGGCACTACTTCCATGAGTTTCTTCTTATAAAATATGCTGTGGAAAGAAATGGAATCAATGTGGTTAGTGGACCAATATTTGATTATAATTATGATGGCCATTTTGATGCTCCAGATGAAATTACACAGTAAGTACTCTGACTTTTTGATTTAGCATTAGAGTATTGTAAGGAAAAATCAAAATACTATAGGTACTGTATAATCTCTATATTACATACTTTATACATAATTGCTGCCAATTTTCAACTTAAATTCCCTAAATATTATCAAGAAATAAAATAAAAATAAAAAAAACAAAATAAAAAAACATATGGCCAAAATTTAAAATAATTGCTACTGCAAATGGTTCCAGGCAAAGATTAATAAATTTTTTTGAAAAGTTATTTGAAAAGTTATTAAATGTAGTGTAATGCTTTTGTAGAAAAAGATGAGGATGAGACATAAGACTAGTTTATTATTAGACATATTAAGCCGTTTATTATAAGGCCCAGTAGAGTAGGGAGACTAAGAGAGAAGAGGAACAGGGGTAATGGCTGACCGCCATGGCTGGTTGCCATGGAGAGGCAGAGAGAGCGTGCAGGTGACAGAGAACGATGAAGAGGCAGAGAGAGTAGAGAGCGGAGCAGGGAAGTTGGAACTTTTAAAGGGAAGACTGCGCATGCGCACTGAGTCCTCACGCATGCGCATGCGTGGTGGGTGATGTGGTGATGGCACGTCCCTGTGCGCGCCCTGACTGTTGTCAGGGGGCAGGGTCTATCTCTTAAAGAGATATTGCCGATCAGCATTAGAGCCTAAACCTTTCATGTAGACCAAGACAGGATGAGAGTTTCTGAAACAGATGTAAATCAGAGTAGTATCAATGAATGTATATATAAACCAACTATAATTGGGAAAAAATCAAGTAATGACTAGTTTACCTTAATAAATTTCACACATACAGTGGGGAGTCCACAAAAGTATTTTTCAGTAGAGGATGTAAATAGATTTCAGTAGAAAAGCAGCTGAACCAAACTATACATCTTAATACTGACCCTGATTGCAATAGAGCTCCTACTGAACATCTGTGTTTTACCACTTGACCATTTCAGAAAGAAGCCTCATCCATTGCTTCTTTTATCATCAAAATGTCGTAAAGATAAAACCAAAGGACTGCATCTGGGTGGTAGTAGCACACACCTTTAATCCCAGCACTTGGGAGGCAGAGGCAGGCGGATCTCAGAGATTTCAGGGCCAGCCTGGTCTACAAAGAAAGTTACAGGAAAGCCAGAACAGTTACACAGAGAAACCCTGTCTCTAAAAAACAAAAATAAATAAGTAAATAAATACTTCCCCCCCCAAAAAAAACTCAAAACAAAACAAAACAAAAACAAAAACTGAATGACTTCAGCATCCCAGCCCAGCCCAGATCATGCAAAGCTCGGCTTCTGCTGATGCCTTCTGATAAAGTAAAACTCAGACTAAGCATGGAGCCAGCCCTTACGCTGTTTCCTGGTCTTTCATTTCACTATTTTTTATTAGTTTGATTTTGAGGCAAGGTCAAATGTACCTTGAACTCACTATGGCACTGAAGATGTACTTGAACTCCTGATCCTCTTGCTTCTGTCTCCCGGGTGCTGAGTTATAGGTATGGGCCTGTGCCTGACTTGCGTTTCATTGTTTGGTTGATTCTAGTTCTCATCATTTGCTAACATCAAATATTCTCATCAAAATAGTCTAACAGATATTTTGAGAGCGCTTTACTACAGAGGAGGTATTTTTCTAAGCATTTACACACACAAGCTTTGCTTTATCAACAAAAACAACTTGATGTTAGGTTCCTGTAGCACATCATCAGAAATGAGGAAGCCAGAGCTAAGAGAGATTAAGTACTTGTGCAGTATATTCTTCACCCAATAAGTCGGAAAAAGGCAGAATGGGAACCCAGACAGCCTGACTCTGAACCAGGAATATGTTGCTGTCTAACCCACTACACACATTTCTTCTAGTGGACTCAAGTAATACCTTACCTTTATTTTCCACTCAAAACTCTAAAACATGCATTCATATTTGTTACTGGAGAGGAAACCCATGCACCATCAGTTATCTGAATTCACCTCCAGGTAAACCCTGTGAACACCTCCATGTTCAAGTTGTTAAGTGAGAGTCAGAGATGGGCAGAGCACAGCCACAGGGGTTGGGACCCTTTTTCCTTAGCACCTACCCCTTTAGAAGGTACCCTGTGAAGCTTGGGGCCAACAGACTTGGGAAATTCCTTGTATTCTAGGATTTTGCTATAATGCTAGAATGACCATACTTAGAATTCGACTAGGAATTTCTGGCTCACTGAAGTGGGAGACACACACGATAAAACTACACTTTCCATACAATCCATGCTTTCCACTTACTCCTTTTGGCAGGTCTTTCCCTCGGCATTTCCTTAAAGCTATAAAAAAAATCGTAATGATGTCAATTCATTTCAATTTATGTTTTTAGACATGTAGCCAACACTGATGTTCCTATCCCAACACACTATTTTGTGGTGCTGACAAGTTGTAAAGACAAAGCCTACACACCCGACAGCTGTCCTGGGTGGTTGGATGTCCTGCCTTTCATCATCCCTCATCGACCCACCAACATGGAAAGCTGTCCCGTGAGTACACCTGGGAGAGCCTGGGGGCCAGAAAACAATTACTCACTTCTATCTCACTTGGGCTGTTTTAGTTTCTGTGGATAGAGTTTTGCTTGTCTATAGATTTATGATCTATAGAATTAATATCAAACATGAATCAGTATATATAAACAAGTATGTATATATGAAGGTCTGTGTGTGTGTGTGTGTGTGTGTGTGTGTGTGTCTGTGATACTCACTAGGGTACCTTAACTAATTTTTTACTCTGGACACAAGCATTGAAGTTTTGCACTGTGGATGACATTAAATTAATGTTTCCCTGAGTGAATATGTAAATAAAAATTCCAGCACCTTGAAGCATGAAGTGTTAAGCACACACATGCACAGAGGGTGGTAAGGGGAGGAAATTAGAATTTGGTATATAGCAATACAGATGAGATATTTATAATGGTAATTATGAGACACTGATGTGATGGGTGAAAACAAACAAACCATGAACCAATTAACTGCAGTTCCATACTCACAACTGGATAAAGGCATGATGTCATGGGGATCATCTTCCACTGACTACAAGAGTGTCACTTGGCATAAACATTTAAGGAATGTTATGCTTAATATTTTGTAGAGTTAAATTACATGTGTTCAATAATCTAACAATTTCATTTATATATATCCTCATATCTATGCTCTAAAACACAAGGAGAGCATTCCAAGTTATTCACCACAGTATTACTTATAATAGTGAAATTACCCTTTCCTATCAGCTTGGTAATTTTGAAGAGCTGCATTAAATTATGATGAAGACATACCAGAGATTTCAGCTAAAACAAATGGCCCATCCTGATCTGGATCCCACATTATGGATAGATCATAAACCTTTTCATAAATGAAAAATAACTGGAAGAGAGCATGTTCAGTGCCCTTGGTGTAAATTTGAAAACACAAACCAATGCTATGTACCATATATGATATGGAGTAACAGTTAAAGAACTGTTTAGACTCACACTGACTTATGTAAGTTAGTAATGTTAGCTCTGAACCTAACAATAGTACTTAAAATACATTTCTTTAAAAATATTGCATCTAGGGGCTAGGGAAATAGCTCAGTTGATAAAGCACTTTCCAGGCAAGTTTGAAGACCTGAGTTCAGATCTTCACCACCTGCCTAAAAGGCTGGAAGTTGTGTTGCACACATGCAATCCCAACACTGGAAGGTGGGGACAAGAAGATCCCTGGAGCTTGCTAGCCAGCCAGAACAACCAGACCAGTGAGTTCCAGGTTCAATGAGTGACCCTAAAAAGTAATGGGGACAACAACGGATGGTGAAATACAATATCAATATCTGGTCTTCACATGCATGTGCACACATGCACACATATAATCATGTATGCACATATATACACAGCATATATGTGTGACTGCAGCATGTACACTGTGGATGAGTTTATGGTGGCTAGTAGTTCAATTAAACAAAATTTAGTTGTATCAGTGAAGAACCAAGGCTACAAAAAATTACAAAAGGACACCTAAGTAATAAAATATCTTCATGATAATGAAAAGTTACATTGTGTGGAAACAGTTTTGTGTTTCATTTTTCAGGAAAACAGAACAGAAGACCTTTGGGTGGAAGACAGGTTTAAAGCACACATTGCCCGGGTCCGTGATGTAGAACTCCTTACTGGCCTTGACTTTTATCAGGAAAAAGCACAGCCTGTCTCGGAAATTTTGCAACTGAAGACATATTTACCCACATTTGAAACTGTTATTTGAATGAATGTATAAAGCAATTTGACAAAATGAGGAAATTCTCTGTCAAAAAAAAATCATAAAATTTTCTATTTTCCTTAATCCTTTGAGTCCTATTGCATTTTTTCATTATAATCTATCTTTTTCATTTCTATAAACAATTACTAGAAAATCCTTTTGAATATAATTTTATTTATTCCCCCACTCTTGTCCTGTATACACACATGTGTGCTTGAGCCCAAGAGGGTCATAAGAGGGTGTTGTCTCCCCTAGAGCTGAAGATACACATGGTTGTGAGCTGTTGGTGTGGGTGCTAGGAAGGGATCCTGGGTCTTCTTCAAGAGCCTTCTATGCTCTTAAACCCTGAGCCGTCTTCCTGCCCTAGTATACAGTGTTATACAGTGAAAGACAAGGCTCAAACGGGAAATTCCTTCCTTACGTCCAGCAACGTGATGATATTCTATGTGTAGATACAATCCCTTCCATGCTCCATTGTTCCAACATGGCTCCAATATAGACATAATTTCTGGGCTTGAGATCCCTCTCTATTCAGAGATAATTGCTGGATGTTTACAACCCTAAACTATGTGTATCCCCGGAAACCCAGTTTGCCTACAAGAGTCTCTGGCAATGGCTAAACTGTTGGGTTCTTGACCTAGAAATGAAAAGGCCAGTCTGAGAAAAGTTAGTTAATCTTGGTTTCCCCTAGAGATTATGTAAAGCTGTACCTCATTATTTGTCATAAAGAAACATGTAGGCCAGCATGGTGGTGCCTACCTTTAACCTGTACTTGGGATACAGAGGCAGGAGAATCACTGTGACTTTGTGGCCGTCCTGGTCTGTATAGTAAGTTCCGAAGCCTGCCAAGGCTACATAGTAAGACCCTGTCTCATTAGCAACAAAAGAAAAACCTCAGAAATATGTGAAGTTGAGCTGTAACTCTGTGATGGGAGCTTGCTTTCCTAGCATATGCCAGGTTCTGGGTTCAGTCTCCAGCACTGCCAGAAGAAGAAAAATAGAAAAGGTGAAAAATACAGAAAAAGCAAACATATGAGAAATACTATTCTGAAAGGATGGATACCACCATTTAAAGGACCATGGACTTAATGGGAATGGCAACTTCAACGATTATTTTTCAATATTTAGTCCTTATTCTACAATAAGATTTTACCTTTTAAATCTAAAAAATATAAACACAAAAGTTAGCTCCAATAAAACTATTATTTAGGAAGACAAATACATGAAAACTCTTGTGTAGAGTTTGAGCCTCACCAATTGTGACCATCTGCACTATAGAGAAGTATATATATTTTATATATGTATATACATTATATATTATGTAAATACATTAAAAGAGCTTATGAAAGTATATTGAAGTCATCTGACCCATTTATTCCCAATCCTTCAGTGTATTTTCCTAAGATCGAGGGCACTAACACAATCAACCAGGAAATTTAATGTCAAGATTGAACTGACAAATACTTTTTGACCTATGAAATTTCACATTTGGATGATGTTCTTTATAGTATTTTCTTTCTTGGCCCAGGATCTGAAGCACACACATTCACTGCACTGAACATTCTTTTCTGTTTGAGGTTACCTGTATCAAAAAAAAAGGAAAAGAACATGCATTCATTTCTCAGCTTTTAACAAGGAGCATTGATGGTTTTGAAGAATCCTGACCTCCTATCCATGAGATTTGTGTGACACTTCCTCATGATTAGACTCCTGCTCTCCACTTACACTGGTAGCATTTGTTCTCAGTACTTTATATTTGGCAGAAAGACACGGTGTTGATTTGTGTGGTTGTTACTGAGTCCACACGGCTCATTTGGTTGAACTGGCGGTTACAGACATCTGCTCTGTAAACACAGTATTTTTCCTTTATAATACATGCCATTATGTGTGGAGACTATTGAGATCCTATACATATTATGTTGAGGTTGTTCCCAACATAATTACAAAGATACAGCAATGAATAACATTGCAAATATAAAGTTTTATGTTTGGGAAAGTGTATTTTCTAGCTAAGTTCCTTAAAATGAGTAATATGTAAGTCTACATTTTTAAAGAGATTTATTTATTTACTATATATACAGTGTTCTGCCTGCATGTATGCCTGCATTCCAGAAGAGGGCACCAGGTCTCAATGTGGATGGTTCTGAGCCACCGTATGGTTGCTGGGAATTGAACTCAGGATGTCTGGAAGAACAGCCAGTGCTCTTAACCACTGAGCCATCCCGTATGTCTACATTTTAAAATAAAACTAGAGCATATTGTTACAGATTAATCATCAGGTCTTTTTTTTTCTGGTTCTGAGTTCAATGAAGCATGGTTTTCAACCCTTGAAAAATGAAAATTTTTATTTTTCAAGTAGTATCTATTTATTATAAGACTACTCATACAATATATACATATCTATTACATATTCAATAGCAATTAATTATACATTTACATGTTTAAACATTAAACTCATCTGTAATCTCAATCAATGTTTATAATGATTAAAGCCTATTGACCCTGGGCATGGTTCTCTTTTGAAACATGGTTTTTAAATATGGGATTTGGAGAAATGTCCATTCATGTTACTATGACTCAGAGGCAATTTTTTCCCAATTAATTTCTTATTTTTAGGAAAATGTGTATTCAAGATTTAGAAACCAATTTCTTAACAACAACAACAAAAAGACATGGAAGTAGAAAGGACTGGTTGGTAGGAAGAAGAAATCAGCCAGAGAGGGTGGGAAAAAGAGCTTAATGGCAAAAATATGCCCAAAATACACTGTAGACATGCACAAAATTCCATAACAACGTCCGCTATATAATCAATATATGCTCATTTAAAACAAGGAAAAATAAAAGAAAGACCTTTCTATCACAAAATGGAAATTACTGAAGCAAGCAAAGTAACTGCTGTGTGACATTTCAATAAATGACATGTGTGATTGATAGCTCATGGTAAATGGCATGGGTGTGGTGAGAAAGAATAATTTGAGTATCCGGGATGCATACATTGGTCTTTAAAACTTGGTGTTTTACTTTTTTTTTTTTTTTGGTGTTTTACTTTTATATAATAGAATTCTGTCATCTCAGACAATGCAACTTTCCTTTTTCTTCCTGTTGCCAGTAAAATACGTAATTAAACCAATTTCAAAAGGCTTAAAATTTTTATTTTGCAATTTTTTATTTGCCTGGGTGTGCATGCATCAGTGCACCACTTGCATGCCTGGTACCTGTGGTGGCCAGAAGAAGGCATCAAATCACTTGGAATTGGAGTCAAAGATGGTTGTGAGCCTTTTAATATAGATAGGTACATATAACAGCTGAAATGCCTACAATGGAATGGGCAGACCTTGTGGCACTGATAGTTTGGGTTATATGTAGTTTGATAAACAGGCATATATAAAAGGGATATTTCTGTGAGCTCCTATTTTAGCGAATCAAGAATTACAATGAACTATCACTGTAGAGGCCAGCTAAGGTCTTGGGAACAGAGTTGGAAGGAAGAGAAACTCCAAAAGTTGGCTTATTTTCCAAATTTAGTTCTAGTTTTGAAAATGTATTTTCTTAGTGAAATTGTATCCTAAAAAAACAAAAATGAAAAACAAAACCAAAGAGCTTCCAGGAAGGGTTTTCAGTGTCATAGTTTGGGAAGAAAAAAGAGTCTGTTCTCCCACAAAGAATCAGAAATAACTGCCATTTTCTGACCCAGTAGAGACCACCTTCCCCACTGTGTTGGCTGAGTAGACAGATGAGGACAGGTGGACTAAAGAGGCGTGCCTGTTCACATGGTAAAGTTCATCTTCAGCCACTAATGTTATTGGGATCCAATGTAAGAGTACCCATTCATGTCTGATCATTTTGTACCAGCAAATGGAGTTTCTGGAGGCTGTTTATGCTTAGAAACTGGGCCGATCTTCACATCAACTCCATCTGGTTTGGGCACTTGAGTTTATTTCCAAATTAAATTTTGGTTCACTAAAAACTGCTCTTGCTCTGGGGAAATCTCTTTCCTTCCTCCTCTTCCACCCACACCCCCCATCACCATGACTTGTTGTCTGTTTACTTTTGGAGGGCAGGGTATGGGAATGGAAGTGGGTTATAAACTGAAACAGTTGTCAAAAACACAAACAAGGCTCTTGGAGGAAATGACTTCCTTTTTACACTGTGTCCCTGGTGGACCACAATCACTCCCTCAATCAGGGAACCAAGATTTGGATAAACACCCAGACAGCAACAAACCTCAGCCCTTCAATGACAGAGCATCAGGGCAATTTAGACTCATCCCAAACCCACAGGATGAACGTAGCTGGAATAACAACTAGTGAGGTATGCCACTGCATGTGGACTTAAAGGAACTCCTTTATCCTGATATTTTTGTATTTCTTAATGTGCAAATTAAAGTTCATAGGTTTAGAGGTCTGGGAGGCCAGTTAGTACATTGCTGAACTGTCAATAACAGCAATGTGTGGAAGCCATGAAGGACTCTAAAGCAATTAGTTTTTTTGTTTGTTTGTTTTTAAGTTAAGGAAATTTGCCTATTGACTATTGCGATAAATTCTTCTATTTGTCACTTTAATATGATCTGTGATGTATTTGTTGTTGATATTCACCTAAAGACTTGAATACTCACTTGAGTATGGTAAGACAGAGGTGTCCAGAGCAGTGGTTGCTGCCACCCTGTAATACAGTTCCTCGTGTTGTGGAGACCACCAACCATAGAATTTATTTCCCTTGTTACTTCAAAACTCTAGTTTTGCTACTGTTGTGAATTGCAATGTAAATATATGTGCTTTCTAAAAGTATTAGACAACACCTGTGAAGGGGTGGCTACCCACACGTTGAGAACTTGTGATGTAGAGGCCATGATTTCATCCTTAAGTTGTAGACAGTAGGATGGGGCTAAATTCTGTCTCCCTGCTGGTGTGCCCCATGTAGACTCCTTACATTCTACAACTAAGCTTTCCCCTTTCCACGAAAGGTGGTTGCTTAGTGTTTACTTCACAGGGAATAAGTTACTAAATACTGAGCAGGTGCCACAAGGTA